AGGTAGGCCCCTGCCATGTTTCCCATTGCCTGCAATGCAGTGGGCAGGCAAAGGCACAAGGGAGATGGGCATGCTTTGTGCCACGGAGGCAAGATCCAAAGCAGGGCTTCCCTGGCTCACAGTTGTGCCTCCGAATGGGATTCGCAAGGCGGGTCAAGCGAAGCAGAAGGCGAGGGGGAGGCCATTGCAAGCAGCAAGCAACAACTGGCCTTCTGCCCACTCCGGCCCTCCCTCCCTCCTTCCTCTGGCTTTCTAGTCATGCACCAGCCAAGCCCATTACGCCTGCCTTCCTTTAAATCGATGGATCCGGATCGTTGCCCAGCCTCCATGTGCAGAACAAGGAGGCAATGGCACACTGCAAAGCGCCAACCCTGCCAGGTAATCCTGAGCCAACAAGATTGCCTTGATTCCCCTTTAACGCTGCCGGATTCACCTTAGCTTAAGGGTGTGTCTACAATGGTGAATGAATGCAATTCAATGCTTCTTGAACTGCCTTGGCTTGAGGCGATGGAATCCTGGGAGTTGTAGTTTTGCAAGGATCCACCCTTGCCTTAAAAGTACATCTACACTGTATACTTAAGGCCTCTTGAACTGCCCTGGCTCAATGCTATAAAATTACAGGAGTTACAATTTTACCCTTGGCTTAACGGCATGTCTACAATCATGAATACAATGATGGATCCTTGAAAAACTGCAACTTCCAGGAATCTATAGTCTTGAGTCAAGGCAGTTCAAGAGGCATCAAATGCATTTATTTGCATTTTGATGACTCTTGAACTGCCTTGGTTCAAGGCTATAGAATCTTGGGAGTTGCAGTTTTGCAAGGATCCACCCTTTGTTTTAGGTGCACATCTATAGTGGTGAACGAATGCAGTTTGATGTCTCTTGAACTGCCTGGACTCAAGGGTATAGAATCCTGGGAGTTGCAGTTTTGCAAGGATCCACCCTTGGTTTAAGGACGTGATTACATTGTAGACTTAATGCAGTTTGATGTCATTTGGACTGCCGTGGCTCAATGCTATGGAATCCTGGAAGCTCTGCCTGAACCCAAACGGAGATTCCCAGGATTCCATAGAACTGAGTTGTGGCAGTTCAAAGGGTATCAAACTGCATACATTCTACAGTGTAGATGCTCCCTATGAAAAAAATGCAAGGCACATCCACTTGGAAGGGGAACAAATGGGAGGCGATTTGCAAATAACTCAATGCGACGAGGATGTTATTTTCTCTGTGTGGTCCTTGTTGTTATGCTCAGAGAGAAGAGTAATTTCAATTCATCTGCTACTGACCAATATCTTGGGAGAAGGAGCTTCCTTTCTAAAGGTCTTCAGCTTTCTTTGATGAAGAGTGCCAGTGTCTTGCAAAACTACAACTCCCAGGATTCTATAGCATTGAGCCATGGCAGTTAAAGTGAGGTCAAATTGCATCTCTTCTCCAATGGGGATGTGCCCTGAGACTTTTATTACGGAGAGAAGAGTTCAAGAGATAAAACGAACAGCCAAAAGACCAATAAATGGTTCCTAGAGCAAACTGAGGCTGTTATAATTTGGGCAAATCACAAGAAGACTCACTAAAAATGTGGGCAAATCACAATAGGACTCACTAAAAAAGGCAATAATGCCTGGCATGGAAGAAGGCAGGAGGAAAAGATGGAGATCTTATTCCTAACTTTGGAAGAGCAGGCCATCGAGGACAGAGGGACTTAGGGTCTCTCATTCATGGGGTTGCTATAAGTTGTTTTCAACTTGATGGCACTTCACAGAAACAACAACGGCAAGTGTAAAACCAATATGGTCAAGAAGTGCACAATTATGATTCCTAAGTGGGACTATGAATAGCAGCCAGGACAATAGCCTCTTTGAAAATAGAAGGGAACATGTTGCCTAGAGAAACCTAATGCAGAGGATGTTCTCATCTTCTCCCTCAAACACTTTGAAATGAAGAATTTGGTGTATCTCTCAACAAAGTGAAGGGCAAAGGGACACAAACATAGCTTTCCCTCTGAACGATTTCCATATTATCTGTCCCTTGACCTTAAGCTGAGCTACCTGTTTCTCATCTTAACTCACTCCTTGCTCAGTTGCATTGTTCACCTGGGAAAGAGAATAAAAGTTTTGATCTGAACATGAGGAAGAATTTCCTGACTGTGAGAGCCGTTCAGCAGTGGAACTCTCTGCCCCGGAGTGTGGTGGTGGCTCCTTCTTTGGAAACTTTTAAACAGAGGCTGGATGGTCATCTATCGGGGGTGCTTTGAATGCAATATTCCTGCTTCTTGGCAGGGGGTTGGACTGGATGGCCCATGAGGTCTCTTCCAACTCTTTGATTCTATGATTCTATGATGGAGAGACCAAAGAAAGAAGGGAAACAATATCTGCCTTCCTGCCTGCCTGCCTGCCTGCCTGCCTGCCTGCCTGCCTGCCTGCCTATCTATCTGCCTATCTATCTATCTATCTATCTATCTATCTATCTATCTATCTATCTATCATCCATTCACCTACTTCCTACCTTTTATGTACACAACTACCTTACCTACTTCCATCATCGATTCTATCCACCTGTCCATTTAGCTACCTACCTATCTACATATCTATCCATCCATCCTATTCTGTCTATCTATCTATCCACCTACCAATCTGTTGTTGTTGTTGTTGTTGTTGTTATGATTATATTTATTTATGCCCTGCTTTTTCTCTCCCGCAGGAGACTCATAGCGGCTACAAATCAATCCATTTATCCTAATCTATCTATCCACCTTCTGATCTATATTTCTATCTATCCATCCTATTCTTTCTATCTGTCCACCTACCCACCTACTTACCTGCTTATCTATCTGTCTGTCTGTCCATCCATCCATCTATCCATGTACCAATGTACTTATTCTATTTACCTGCCTACCTGCCTACATATCTATCTAACTGCATATCTACCTACCTAACTGCATATCTATCTGTCTGTCTGTCTATCTATCTATCTATCTATCTATCTATCTATCTATCTATCTATCTACCTACCTACCTACCTACCTACCTATCTATCTATCTATCTATCCACCTTCCAAAACACTTATCCTATTCACCTGCCTACCTATTTACTTAACTGCATACTTACCTGTCTGTCTGTCTGTCTGTCTGTCCCGCAGTCTCTATCCATCTCTCTTCCCATCTCTCTTCCCATCCATCCATCCATCCATCCCTCTATCATTCTCATCCATCCATCTATCTATCTATCTATCTATCTATCTATCTATCTATCTATCATCTATCTATCCATCCATCCATCCCTCCATATCCATCCAATTACTATACGGAGCCCCAAGGAACTTCCAATCCAGTCTCCTATATCTGTCTGTCTGTCTATCTGTCTGTCTATCTATCTGTCTTGTCTATCTCTGTCTATCTAGTCTATCTAGTCTATCTATCTGTCTATCTATCTATCTATCTATCTATCTATCTATCTATCTATCTATCTATCTATCTATCTATCTATCCACTTACTCATGTACCCATCTACTTGCCTACCTACCTGGCTACCTACCTGGCTACCTACCTGGCTATCTATCTATCTATCTATCTATCTATCTATCTATCTATCTATCTATTTATCTACTCATCCATCCATCCAATCATGTTGGGGCCTATGTGAGGGTGGGGGCCTTGCTCCCACCTCCCACTGTTTCCATGCCTGGCTTCCAAAGTGTGGGGCCCTGCCTTCTCCCACCTCCACAAGTGCAGTGATGTTTGAAGACCAGTGGGCAGAGCAGAGACGTGGAACGCTTTCCGGATGACTCACTGGCGCTTAAGCGGGATCTGGGCGTTTGTGTGTGTGTGCCCCCGTGTGTGAGCGTGTGCTCCATACACACACATCCACATGTGTGTATCTTTTGGGAAAGTTGGGGGATCGAGGGGCAAAGAAGCAACGCTGGCATTCCCCCACCAGGTTGGGGACTTGCGATGAAAGAGGAGAGGGATTGCTTCCTTGGGAAAGCTGCAGACCCAAATAAGTGCGAAAGGAGAAAGCAAAGTGAGACTGTGCATATCAATGGAGTAGACCAGTTGCTGGTGTGCCATATGGATACAGAGAACCATGCTGAGAATGGGAGACCCAGGCAGCCCCTTCCAGGGGTAGATAGATAGATAGATAGATAGATAGATAGATAGATAGATAGATAGATAGACAGAGGAACGGATGAATGGATAGAGGGTGGGATAGAGGGATGGAGGGAGAGAGAGTGGAGAGAGGGAGAGATGAATAGATGGAGGGTTGATTGAAAGAGATATAGATGGAGGGAGGGATGGATGGATGGAGGGATAGATAGAGGGAGGAAGAGATGGAGGGAAGGAAGGTAAATTGAGAGATAGGGTCCTAACACAGAAAGTAAGGGTTAAAAAGGAGATGCAGCTCATGTTAGGATGCATGCACCCTTGTTACCCCCACAAGTACCACCCCATCATGTTAACAATATATTTGCCATGAATGAGGTGAGAATTCCGTAGAATGCAGCCAAATCTAAGAGGAGTAGATCCACTGGACCCACAGAACGTCCCTACAGGTTGATGCAACATCATTCTCCCTGCAAGTCCAGTTTCCTTGCATTGGGAGCAGCTATGAAGCCGGTCCTTTGCCCACCCAGCACCAGTATCCTTCTCCATCCCTCAGACTCATTTGCTGGGGTTCACAGGAACAGTCACAATAACAACAACAACAACAACTGCAGCAATGGCCCTCCCAAGGCTGCTCTAGAGCCGCTTTTGCAGCCACAAAATGCACCAGAGACACTGGGAGCCCCATCTGCAACAAGTGAGCCCTGGGCTCCGAGGAGCGTCCCTCTGGCTCTGCCCACCTGGCACCCTCTTCCCAGCAGCCAGAGCATTGTTGTGTATTGTTGCATGCAAGAGAGTGGTACCATCCTAAGAGGCCCAGGTGGGGATTGCAGGAGATATGGGGACGCTGGCCCATTCCTTGACCCTTTGCAAGGAAAGAGGTGGTGAGCTTTTGCCTACCTTCCAGGCAGCAGGTCCTCCAGAGCCCCGAGTGGGTCATGACCTCCTCGTTCTTGCGGCTGGTGTCATTGTCGCTGGAGGACTTGGTCCGGCAGACGCCCCGGGAGTAGAGCCAGTAGTCGGTGCCCACTGCGATGGTCATCAGGCTGAAGGCTGCAAAGGCGCCCAGGGTGGTCACCAGCATCTGCAGGCCTCGGTCACACAGCCGCATGGTCAGGCATGGCCCCCGGCCCGAGGCAGTGGCCAGAGGGAAGGGGCCCGGGGGCAAAGGTCAGCCCCCCAGGGGCCCCGCCGGCCTCGGGAGTGAGGGGGGCAGCAAGGGGGGCAGCCGGGGCATCTGGATGGAGGAGGAGGAGGAGGACAAGGTGTCTAAGCAGCCCTTCGCCCCTGGAGCATCCCACGCCCAAGACAGATGGAAAACCAGGCTCCCTTCCTTGCTTCCTCTCTCTTTCTTTTTTCCTTCCTCTCTCCCTTCCCTTCCTCCTTTCCTTCTTTCCTCTTTCCCTTCCTTTCTTTCTTTCTTTCTCTTCCACACCTCCCTTCCCTCTTTCCTCTCTTCTTTTGGTCCCTCTCTTTTACCTTTCCCCTTCCTTCCTTCCTTCCTTCCTTCCTTCCTTCCTTCCTTCTTCGTCTTCTAGCATCTAGCTGCGCGCTGGGGGTGGCTCGCCTGGTCAGTGGCGGGGGCGGGGCGTCTTCTCCCCGGGCCCTTGCCCTGGCGCCATCCCGGAGGCTTTGGAGGGAAGAAGGCAGCTCTTCTTCCTCTCCTCCTCCTCCTCTCCTCTGCCTTCCTTCCTTTCTTCCTTCCCGGCTTCAGCTGCTTCTGCGCGAATCTCTCTGTCTGTGTGTCTCTATCAGAGAGAGGAGGGAGGCGGGGGCTGCAGACGCGGGAGCAAGGGGGGGGGCGCTTGGGGTGGCGGGCCTGAAAGAGGGAAGGGGGATCGTGGAGGGGGGCGCGCGCCTATTTCCATCCAAAGGAGGGGCCCCTTGCCTCTGGCGGTTCTGAAGTGGAGAGCTCCGGGGGGGGGGGGGCGAGACCAAGGGGGGGGGGGGGGGGGGGGGGGCCCTCTTCTCAATCTATTCCCCCCTCCCCCGGGAAGAGGGAGGGGCACAGCCTCTGGGGATGCTGAGGGTGGGCTTTGGCCACAGGTTCCCTCTCCACAAGATCCCCACCCAAAAAGGCTTATCAGTTGCATAAGAAGCCAAGGCAGGGTTGGGGAAAGGAAGGTGGACAAATGAAGAGTTGGCAACAGAAGGCAGGCAAGGGAAACAGGCATGGGCAAACTTAGGCCCTCCAGGTGATTTGGACTTCAACTCCCACATTCCTAACAGCCCCAGGCACCTTCCTTTTGAGGGGGAAAAGGAAAGGGCCTGAGGCTGTTAGGAATGGTGGGAGTTGAAGTCCAAACCACCTGGAGGGCCTAAGTTTGCTCATGTTTGCCAGGAAAGATGGTCAAAAGGAAGATTAAAAAGCTGGATGGATCAAAAAATAGAGGGCAATAGAAAGAGGGTGAAGAAGGAAAGAAGGAGATGAGCCAAAGACCGCAGGCAAACTATAGCTGAGAAGAAAAGAAGATGAGCAAAAGACTGAAGGCAAACTATGGCTGAGAAAGCAAGGAGGGCAAAGAGGGTGGGACTGTAGGAAACTCAAGTGGGCAAAGGAGTGTTGGCAAAGGCCATTGGGCCTTGAGCTGGCAGTAGAAGTTCAGGGAAGGGTTAGATCTCCATCAGCCAGACCTGGGCATATCCAAGTCCCTTTGGGAGACTCCCAAGGAGCACACTTTCCCAAATCATAGAGTTGGAAGAGACCGTATGGGCCATCTAGTCCAGCTCCCTTCTTTCATGCAGGAAAAGCACAATCAAATCCTCCCCAACAGATGGCCACCTAGTCTCTGTTTAAAAACCTCCAAGAAAGGAGCTTCCGCCAGACTCGGAGGCAGAGAGTTCCACTGCTGAACAGTTCTTCTCATTGTCAGGAAGTTCTTCCTAATGTTCAGGTGGAATCTTCTTTCTTGTCATCTGAACCCTTGACTCTGAGTCCTAGTTTCAAGGGCAGCAGAAAACAAACCTGATCCTTTTTCCTTAATGGATCTTTTCACATATTTATACATGGCTCTCTTGTCTCCTCTCACCCTTCTCTTCTGTAGGCTAAACAGACCTAGCTCTTTTAATTGCACCTCATAGGGATTTGTGGTCTCCAGACCTTTGATCCTTTTAGTCTCCCTCTTCCTCTGGATACCTTCCAGCTTGTCAAGATCTCTTTTGAACGGTGGTGTCCAGAATTGTACACAGTGTGATTCCAGGTAAAGAGATCTGACCAAAGCAGAACAGAGAGGCACCATGACTTCCCTTGATCTGGATACTAGATTCCTTTGGATGGAGACCAAACTCCCATTGGCTGTTTTTAGTTGCTGCATCACATATTGGATCATGTTTAACTTGTTCTTCATGAAGACTCCAAGATTGTTGTTGTGGTTCAGCCAGAAGCTGAAGACAAGGGGATTGTTCAGTCAGAGGTTGTGAGGAATGATGGGTTTTCCAGTGTGAGAAATGAGGGGATTTTGGATCATGATTCTGTCTGGGAGAATGGGTCTGTGGTCAGAAAGAAACAGCTTCAGAGTAGGGAGGAGATGGAGATGCTTGGGCATTGGCAGTCAGGGAAGACCTTTCCCTGGTCATTCCTTGGCAATGGAAGATAAGGAGCTGGAAGGAAAAGATCTTTCCCCTTGGAAAACACCTGAGCTTTAGGAGTATGAGACTCGATCTCCAGGAGGAGGAGTCAGATTACGGAGGTCACAGAGAGAAATCCTTGAAATAGACCAGATGTCAAAGGCATGACTTCATGGCTTGTGGACCTTAAATTAAACTGTTGTTTGCTGAAAGGGTTAGAGCAGGTAACACTGCATTACTGTGTACACCTTGGATCTTGTTCTTGTTCCATGTTCAAGTCTATGCCTAAGATATTTGGGAAAGTCTTATGCTCATGTTCATGGATTCATGTTTTGGAAGAAGTTCCTGTATTCCTGGTTATGGATTTCTGCCTATGTTTTGATTCCTGTTTTTTCATGTACCTTGTCTCTTTCGAATAGAACTTTGATGTTTGGACTATTGCCTTTTGAAGTCTTTTTCCTATTGCTTTTTGAACATTGCTTTTTTACTTTGCCTTTTGCCTCTACTTGCTTTCTTCAATAAACTGTTTAGTTAGTAATCCTGGACTCTTGTTTGGTGCTGGGTGCAAAGGTGACTTCAGGCCAAAGTGCAACAATCTTTTCCACATGTAACTCTGTTGTCACGTAAGGTGTCACCCAGGGCCGTAGCCAGAGGAGGGTTGAAAATTGGGGGGGGGGGGGGGGGGGTAGGGTCATGCTGAAGCAAAGAGCACAGCAGGGGGCAGAGCAGCCTTCAATAGCCTGCAGCTCCGCTCCTGTGAACCACCTCCACCAAGTCTGGCCTCCTTAATGAGAGCATTCAACACCCCCCCCCAACTTGGTTGCTTCGCTACATCGGCTATTGCTGCAAGTAATGACAGTGTGAATAAATTGTCAATATTTGCTTGAGATAGTGCTTGCAGTTCTGGAGGGACTCTTAATTTTTTGCATCTCATAGACTTAGCATGGGGATTTGGTTAACCAGTTAAAATTCATGAGTAAACCAGGTTTTTTTTAACCTGAAAATTTTCGGGGGGGGGGGTTGAACCCCTAACCACCACCCCCCCCCCCCAGCTACAGGCCTGGTGTCACCCATCCTGTATGGGTTAAACCCTTGTGCCGGCAAGACTGAAGACCGACAGGTTGCAGGTTCGAATCCAGGGAGAGTGCAGATGAGCTCCCTCTGTCAGCTCCAGCTCCCCATGCAGGGACATGAGAGAAGCCTCCCACAAGGATGGGAAAACATCAAACATCTGGGCATCCCCTGGGCAATGTCCTTGCAGATGGCCAATTCTCTCATACCAGAAGCAACTTGCAGTTTCTCAAGTCGCTCCTGACATGAAAAAAATGTGCATTTCATTTTTTCTGCCTGAGTGTATTATCTTACATTTGTCCTTGTTGAAATTCATTTTGTCATTTTTAGCCAAACAAGTCTCTAATTTGTGGAGGTCATTTTGGATTCTGATCCTGGCTTCTGGAATATTAGCTCTCCTGGTGTCATCAGCCTGCCCTCTAAACCTTCATCCAAATCATTAATAAAGATCCTGAACAGTACTGGACCCAGGACCAAACCCTGCGGCACTCACTCCATGAGTCACTTCTTTCCAGGATGAAGACAAACCATTGAGCACCCTTTGGGTTGAGTTGCTTAACCAATTTCAAATCCACCAAACAGTAGTATTATCTAGCCCACATTTTACTAGTTTGGTTACAAGGTCATGGAGGACCTTGCATCAAAATATGCTACATCCACAGCATTCCCTGCATCTACAAAGCTTGTAACCCTTATTGAAAAAAAGAGATAAGATTCAATGTATTGTCAAAGGCTTTCATGGCCGGAATCACTGGATTGTTGTGAGTTTTCCGAGCTGTATGGCCTTGTTCCAGAAGCATTGTCTCCTAACATTTTGCCTGCATCTATGGCAGGCACCCTCAGAGGTTGTGAGGTCTCACAACCTCTGTGGATATCTGCCATAGATACAGGTGAAATGTCAGGAGAGAATGCTTCTGGAACATGACTATACATCCCAGAAAACTCACAACAACCCAGAGATAAGATTTGTCTGGCATTACTTGTTTTTGAGAAATCCATGTTGACTTTTAGTGATCACAGCATTCCTTTCTATGTGATTGCAGACTGCCTCCTTAATGATCTGTTCCAGAATCTTTCCTGCTATTGATGTCAGGCTGACTGGACACTGGTCAGTGTTTGTTTGGGTCCTCATTTTTCCCTTCTTGAAGATAGGAACAACATTGGCCCTCCTCCCGTCTTCTTATGGGACTTCTCCTGTTCTCCAAGAATTTTCAAAGATTTGCCAGTGGTTCTGAAATGACTTCTGCTCTTTCCTTCAATATCTTGTATGCAGTTCATCTGGTCCTGGAGACTTGGATTCATTTAGAGTAGCCAGGTATTCCTGAACTACTTCTTTACCTATTTTGAGTTGCATTTCCCCTTTTACTTTGAGTTGCATTTCCCCACTCCATGTTGCTCAGGTTGAACACCAATCTCCCAATCTTCCAACAAATATCAGAATAGTTGAAATCTCCCATTTCAACTATATCGCAGCTTGCTGGACGTTTGCTCATCTGTTCAAGGAAGGCTTCATCCAGGTCTACAGTCTGGCTTGAAGAGCTGTAGTAGACCCTCACAACTACATTTTTTAAAGTTCTCACTCCCTTAATTTTTAACCAGATACTCCTCCTCCCAATGTCTGCCCTGGCACAGGCATTCAGGCTTTTTCACTGATATCGTTCCCTGTTTCTGGCTGCTCCAAATGTGGCCTTCCAGAGGTGATGGAGACAAGGCCAGACTGATCTCTAGAAGTCCCTCTATTTGGAGAACATCTCCCTGGAGGAATATTTGTAGCTAAAGGCTTTGGTTAAATGGCCTGGGAATATGAAAAGAT